GGGTGAGGCCTTAAACAGAACCCTATTGTAAATATGCCACACTGTTTGGCTTTCAAGGTTATCCTGTGTTATTAATCCTCCGGGGTTACTAATGCGAATAATCTTGCACACCCACTTAGGCTCCCGCGTCACTTGTGACATACTGATACCCGACTGACGTGTCAGCTCTTGGACTTGGCTATGATGTCAACTCATAGGAGAAAAGTAGAAAAGCTGTGTTGACTGAAATGTTTATAATGGTGTGAAGCGAGAGGTTACATTACTTGGTGGATGATTAGTGTGGGGGTGGGGGAAGTGCAGCTGGCGACGGACGTAGGTGTAAGTGTGGGTGTGGGTAGGCAGTCCCTGCTGTCTTGGTGTCTGCCACACCCCATTCCCCTCCTTCACTCCCACGCAGGCTAGTGATACTGACATGCATCCTGTCCAAAGTAATGGAGAAGATTGTCAGGAGGATACTGGAACACCTGGAGAGGATGAGTTTCGTCAGCGAAAACGAAGAACGATTCGGGAGCGAGTGTCTGACGAACCTGCTGCAGCTCTATGATACAGACTCATCGAGACACAGACAGCGGGGAAAAGGAGGGAGGGATGGGCAGACTGAAAGAATGCATTTGGCATTGATAAAGCTCCTGGTGAGCCTATTCCTGGCATATACCTAGAGGGTATACCCCAGGTACAATTTTCCCAACGTTTCGCGTATATTGCACATATATTAGCATAATATAAATGATGCGTTTATGAGAACGCTTAGGACCATTGCCAAGTCAACTGTGACTTGACGGTGGTTCGAGACGATCCCGAACATCGTCATAAACTTCCTGTGTGGATTATTTGTGAATTGCTCCAGCCATGGTATTGCCTTTTATTCTTCATAATTTATTTCACAGTCATGACTTAATAAAGCTCTATACAGAACGAAAAGTTGTCATAATAAAAGTTTGTCTTGCAGCATTTTTTTTTTATAACTAATCACAGAAGTGGGGCTTTCACCCATGGAAAGTGAGTGCTAAAACTCGCAGGTCACTATCGCCAGTATGCCACTTGTATCCATGGCTATAGACATCATTCCTTAAATAAGTTATTAAGTAAGTAAATAATAAAGTTTATTCAGTTAGTTACACCATCTTCGGATGATTACAGTTGTCTTGCATAATAATAATATATAAATTAACTAGGATAATCCCCCCAAAAAGTGAGTGACGTATTTCCATCTGGATTGTTTGACACCCAACTGACCATGCTTCCACCAATGTTGTTTCATTCTTACCTGAACCTCAGCTGCAGATACACAAAGATGGCCAACCCAGCAGCATATCTTTGCAAGATGTTAAGTTTATATTATAATTAAATAAAATAGAAATGACTAGCTGGTGCACATTAACCATGCATATATTACACAATATATCTTGGTGATTGTGTATTTTGTGTGTGTGGAGAGTGAGGTCATTCTTTGTGTACACAGAGGTGGTGACAGAATCTTCTGAAGCTGATGTCAGTAAATGTCTTGTCCGGAGAGCAGAGGACATCATCACTGTTTGGCAGCATGATACAGCGTCACTTGCATGATATGTTACTGCACGATAGTGTTTCACCAGCATGATACAAAGTGTGTGCCACTCAGTGGTAATCGCTTGTTTTCTTGCATGTTGCATGGCATATTGTATTAGTTTTGTTTGTTTAAGCACTATGGAGATCCGGTCATTTTAAGAATTATTTTTTTATTATCACATCGGTCGTTTCCCACCAAGGCGGGGTGGCCTGAAAAAGAAAAACTTGCATCATCATTCACTCCATCACTGTCTTGCCAGAGGCGTGCTTACACCAGTTATAAAACTTCAACATGTATTATTTTTTAATACAAGCATGCTGTTTAAACCCCTATACATTTTTTTTATTTCTTGTGCAAATTGTTATTTTGAAGATTATTATTATTATTATTATTATTATTATTATTATTATTATTATTATTATTATTATTATCATTATTATCAAAAAGAAGCGCTAAGCCACAAGGACTATACAGCGGTTATTTTGAAGAACATTAAGAAAAATAATTTAGGACGTAGAGGACCTGACGGACAATCTAATGTAAACACAGGCGGCTATATGATAATGGTGTACAATACAAACAAGTTGATAAGTAAGACACATGGAAGGAACCTAACAATTAGGAAGAAACCTAGTTGTTGCACATGTGTCTTATCAAACAAAGGCGCGCCAGTCATATATCAACTGTAGGCTGGGCTTGTGCACCAGCCTTGGTAGTGTGTAGACTTTTGGCTCTTGCCTGACAAATTCCCATCATTATCTCTGGGACGCTTGTCCTCCAATTCCTTTGCCCGTTGGGCACATTACAGTAGGGGCATCATTTATCAGAGTCATTATTTCACGGTTATTTACTAACCACAGGTGAGGGTGTGTGTGTCCCGTTCTAGTTGGGACTTTGGCATGGGGAATAGGGGTCCACCTGACCGAATTGGGAACTTTTTGTTTGCTTTTATTTGCAAAGGGAACTTTGTTTCCCTTTCTTTCATCGCACAGCTTTAGGCAGTGCTTCCCTGTTCATCGGGAAGCAGGGCTTCCCTGTTCATCGGGAAGCAGGGCTTGATAAAGTTGTCAGTTGCTCTTGAAACCCCCAACATGATCTACCGCTGCCGGAGTATGGTTAGGTTACGCTTAGCTATTTTGAGTTTAAGTTAATTTCTTTACATTTGAACAATATAGAATAATATTCATGAACATTATTTTAGAAATAAATTATGGCCAAACACGTGTAAAGACCAGATCTCCATAATTAGCTATATAATATACTTTGTGTCTTATACTACCACCTTTCTATATACACCTGAATCTAGGTTATGTAATTATTATGTGCCGGTAATAATTCATAGTAGTATAGCAAGATAATTGTTTAGATTTTGCCAGTGCAATTGTGTACTAGTTGTCTTAAGAGTACCTGAGTTCTGAAGCATTGAACACACTGGTGGTCACTGACTTTCGTCTTTATTACCACCTCAGTATTGACAAAAAAAAGGCCACCCCCCCCCCCTTCAAAAAAAAAAAAAAATGACGAGTTCTGGGCAAGTTGGGCACAGAATAAGATTCTTTTTCCCGGGATTCCCCCCGGGGTTGATGACCCCTAAGGGTTTTAAATTTTTAATGAATAATATTAAAATTTTTTCAAAAAATTTGGGGACTTCCCCCCTCACCCTGTGTGGGATACTTCCCCCCCCCTTCCTCCATGTTGGACTTTCCCCCACCTTCCTACCATGGGTGTGTGGGACTTTTTCCCTCACCTTCCACCAATGTTATGGTACTTCCCCTCACCTTCCTACCAAAGTTTATGGTACTTCCCCCCCCTCCTACCATGTGGTGTGGGGGGGGGCACTTCCCTCTCCTACCAATGTGTTTTTGGGACTCCCCCCACCTTCCTACCTGTGTGTTTTGGGACTTTCCTCCTCATATTCCACCCGTGTGTGTGTGGGGTTGTGTGTGTGTGGTGTGTGTGTTGGTGTGTGGGTTGTTTGGTTTTTCACTTTCCTTTTCCCACCAGGTGTATGGGGACTTTTCCCCCCCCACCCTTCCACCAGAGTGTGTGGCACTTCCGCTCACCTTCTTACCGTGAGTAGCACTTCCCCTCACCTTCCTACCTGTGTGTGTGTGTGTGTGTGTGTGTGTGTGGGTGGTACTTAACCCTCACCTTCCTGCCAGGTGTGTGGCACTTCCCCCCACTTTCCACCATTATGTGTGGGCACTTTTCCCTTACCATCCTACCAGTGGATTACTTTTCCCTCAGCTGTTCCATGGGATTTTTGGTTGTGGTACCCCCTTTACACCCCCCATCTCTCAATTTCTCTCTTTCTCTTCTTCTCTTCTCTTCTTTCTTTCTTCTTTCTTTTCTCTTTTTTCCTCTTTTTCCTCTTTTTCTTTTTTTTCTTTTTTTCTCTTTTCCCCCTCTTTTTTCTCTTTTTTCTCTTTTTCTCCTCTTTCTTTTTCCCTTTCTTTTCTATTTTTTTCTCTTTCCTTTTTTTCCCTCTTTTTCTCTCTTTCTTTCCTCTTTCTTTCTTCTTTCTTTCTCTTTCTTTCTCTTCCTTTTTCCTCTTCTCTTTTTCTTTTTCTCTTTTTTTCTCTTTCTCTCTCTCTCCCCTTTTTCTTTCTTTTTCTCTCTCTTTCTTTCCTTTCCCCTCTCTCTCTCCTCTCTCCTCTCTCTCTTTTCTCTCTCTCTCTCCCCTCTCTCTCTCTCTCTCTCTCTCTCACTCTCTCTCTCTCCTCTCTTTCTCTTTTTCTCTCTTTTTCCCTCTCTTTTTCCCTCTCTTTTCCTCTTTTTCACTTTCTCTCTCTCTCCCTCCTCTCCCCTCCTCCTCTCTCTCTCTCTCTCTCTCTCACATATTGTTGCAATTCCTGTCATCCACATTTAAATTGAGGCTTCCTCTCAAGTTTAATTACAGTTCTGAAAATGCAAGGTTTTCATCTCATTTTTGCTGGTTTCTTTTTTCTTATTTCTTGTTTTTTCTTTTTTTTTAATTTTCTTTTTTCATTATTTTGTTTTTCTTTTTTCCTTTTTATTTTTATTCAGAGAAAGCATTAAACCTTCACAAGCATTTCAGTGTTAGAAGTAGGAGACTACTCAAAAACCATTATGGTCATCTGTCAGCAACTGTTGGTACTGAAATACAGTTCCATATTTGGCTGTAGTGTGATGGCTGCTGCTCACTGTGTTAAAGTTCTGCCAGGATTTTCTTGCATTATTACAACAAAGAATTGCAATGATATTAAAATAGCTGTAGTTTTCCCAGAATTCACTCAAAATGCAGTTTAGGATATATTAGTTAACATATTGTAGTGATTTGATTGTATGTGTTACTAATGTGAGGGTAAAATAATATTAATTTTTCTTATAATAACATTTTTTTTCCTTTCCTCTCCCCTCAGCATAAAGGTGAAAGGGGCAGTACTAATGTAGCTTTTCTTTTGTGTGTGTGTGTGTATGTGTGTGGCAGGTTATGGGCAGCGGTCTTCTCAACCATGTGACCAGAGCTCGTGCTACCCAGCCACAGGCAACCTGCTCATAGGTCGTGAGAAGAGCCTCTCTGCTACCTCCACCTGTGGCCTTTATAAGAGGGTTAGTACTCGTGCGGTCTTCATTGTCTATGCTTCAGCTCTCAGCTTAGAGGTCTCTTATTAACAGTGCTCACCATTTTTCACTATTCTTATTTAGTAAAAATGACAATTGTTTTTAAGCATAAATCACTGAATCAATTTCCAGTTAAAAAGCAGTAATTTAGAGAAAAAGTGGCTAATATTATAGATTTTAATGAATTTTTCATATGCAGTACATATAGTATATAGTACATATAGTATAGGGATATGTTGTGTATCTTTATATGTGTACGCTTCTAAACTGTTGTATTCTGAGCACCTCTGCAAAAACAGTGATAATGTGTGAGTGTGGTGAAAGTGTTGAATGATGATGAAAGTATTTTCTTTTTGGGGATTTTCTTTCTTTTTTGGGTCACCCTGCCTCGGTGGGAGACGGCCAACTTGTTGGAAAGAAAAAAAATAAAGAAACAAGCAAAAAAGTATATTTTGCTCATTTTCACACCTTTTTTTTTTTTTTTTTTTTATTCTATGCATCATAGTTATTAAGTGACTAGGGTGGAATGAAGAGATATGAGGGTTAAGGGATGGGGAGTTGGAAAAACAAGGGTGATAGTTTGGTAATTGAGGATAGGGTACTGGATGGAAGGACAAAGGCATGGAGTGGATAGACAAAGGAGGGTGTGTAGAGACTGGAATAGGGGATGGAACATGAAGAGTTTTAAGTGAGTTTTTAAGTTTTAAGTGTTTTTAAGTGATTTGTGCCTCCCACAGGAGCGGTACTGCATTGTGTCTCACCTAAAGGACCGCAAGAAGTGCTTCTGGTGTGATTCTCGGCCACAGTGGGATGGCAGTCCCCAGTATTCCCACAAAATAGATAATATTGTCTACAGATTAGACCCTCGGTGAGTACCCCTTCCACTTAATATACTTAAAGAATCAAGATTAATGAGCCCTGGACCTGTACATCAGCAAATTTGTTTGTAAGAAGGATAAATGAGGTTGCTGACCAAAAGGAGGGACAGTTTTTTTTATTATTGTCACTGTGCTTTTCTTGTATACACCAAATGAATATTCTGTTATCTTTCCTGAAAAGACAGAATAAGATTGGAATATGTATTCATTTTGTTAATACACAGTTCATTCATGTGATATTCACCATTTGTTGATCCTAAAATCCTTGATCCCTTTCTGGACCTATAGTACCTGCAAAAAAAATCTATACACAAAATTTTGGTGCATACATTTCAGTCGCGTTTCCGCCATAGGAAAATTGTCATGACGTAGTGAACTGGAGCCCATCTTGCTCCATTGTTCCCCACCATGCCATGCTTCAGTGCTCTGCCAGAGCTCGGTGAGGAAGGAGGCTTGCTACAATGTCCCTTAGTGCCCCTTTTTTCACTCAACCATGAACTTTGTCACATTTAGTGAGAAGGCAGATTGTATGTTTTCAGAGAGGATGCATTGTATTCTTTGAGACAGGATGAATTGCACATATTGGGAGGAGGAGGATTGAATATTTTTTCAGAAGCATCATTGCCTGCTGTAGTGATTACTGCATAAAGTGATCTACAATTTGGGAAAGGGATACTTTGTATGCCATGTTGGTTTCTATATTGTGTGGCAATTGCCCTTGCAATGTCTGAAAGCTGCATAATGTCTTGCCTAGTAGTCTATATCATCGTTACACTGAAAGAAGTGGATGGATCTACTCGCCTGCAGATGACACATGTATGGTTATAACCACTCTCTTTGTGGCTGTTATACCATTCATGCCCAACTTGCTAACATGTGGGAGCTAGTCTTAAGTTAATTTGTATTCCTGTTTCATCTTATTATTTAAGTATATACGTAGTTATATTCTAATGCCAGGAGCAAGGGGCTAGTAACCCCTTTTCCTGTAACTTACTAAATTTAAAGAGAGAAACTTTCGTTTCTCTTTGGGTCACCCTGCTTCAGTGAGATACAGCCGGTTTGTTGAAAGAAAGAAGAAAGAAATTATGTTCTAAGAGGAATATTGATAGTAAATACTTGTGTCTGAAAATGACATTTGCACTTAAAAAAGACTCAAGATTCTAGAACGTACACTTTACTACCAGTAATGTGGTACACCTGGAGAAGATTCTCTGTACAGTACCTGAAGCTCCAGGTTAACTTTTGTATATCGTGTTACGTTTTTTGTGTTCTTTGGATATACTGTAGTAATTTTGAACTGATTTCAGCGATTATTTCAAATTCACTTTGGCACTGGAGATTAAATTTTATTTCATTATTAATCAAATTTTAAAGTTATTTCATTTATCCCTTGTGCACTGTGATTACCAAAATTTAATGTGAGCCTGTTAACACTTTTGTAAATAGCGAAGTGTTCACTTTCACTGGGATTACATTTCATTAAATATTGTATCAGTAGATAACATTGGTGACCACCGGATAAATGAAAATATATTCAGCCCAAAACATGTTTTTAGATTTTTAAATGAATTGTTCATATTTCTTAACAAAATTAATGAAACACACCTGTGCAGTTTTAATATTTGTACAATATATAAAATATAATTTTTTCCTTCATATGTTCTGCCTCACTGTGGATGGGAACCTGTGAAGGATCCTCGAATGGCCAGTTACATTCACAGGACAGTCCATAAGAAAATTCCGTGAATGGTAGAGTTGCGTGAATGCTAATGTAGTGAATAACAAATTTTCATTAGCGCTTTTTAAAAAAAATTGATTACGTTTGTGCCTGGCTTTCTCTTGGACTATGACAGGTGTTTGCAGGAGTCACTATGTTATTTTTTTATTAAAGTTATTTTTAGCGATGATTAATGGTATAGTATATCAGAAATGCTTGTCATAGTTAATGTAATTTTCTGCTTGGAGGAGTGGTCAGCAGTACTAGCTGATGTTAGCTAGTATGCAGCCTGTGGGTGAACTTCAGTCATGTGGTAAAAACCCAAAAGGAAGTTGCCACTTGTCTTACTTACATGATTGTTTTAGGCAATATTTTTAGTAGCAGTTTTCATTTTCAGTTTTGCTGGCTAGCCTTGCTTCTCAAACTAAGGGGAGTTGGGAACTGGTTCCTATAGCCTGCACGCTAACACCTTAAGAAAATGCAGCAGACTTGTGGTTTCATGTGAACATAGCAACAACATGCTTGGAGAGAGGAAAGGAGGCAGAGAGGGAGAGGAGGAGGAAAAAATGAGGGGGTGAGGAGATTGTTACTGGTATTATTATTATCTTCCCAGATAATGCTAAGCCCATGTGGGGTCATCAAACTCTACACAGCAAAGAAGAGGTTGATGTAGAGAAAAGGTAAAAATGTTAATGGTAAGCATGAGGACAAGAGTAGGAAGGCACACTTGGTACTGTAAATCAATTTCAGTTATGAACTCAGAGATTCCATATTAAGGCAGAACTGTCATATAGGGCAGATAGAGTAAGCATGTTAGACTATTGAAGGAGATGTACAAAATTAAGTTATGCACTCTGTTAAATGGGACAGTCAATTAAAATGCAGTATGTTGGACCGTCGGCAAGGCCTAATAACTTTAGTAAAGTAATCTAGGTGTCCCTCCACGAGTTGATCATGTGAGAATCTTGCATGACTAATACACAGGTGAAGAGTGGCATTTCTCACAATAGAAAGGATGAGTAGTGTGTGAACAGAAACACAGTTGTTTGTCAATGTAGACCAATGATTCTGCCATGTGTGGGAGATTGAAAGGCCATGATCTACAGATTGAGCGAAGGAGTATGAGACTTCATTGCCCTGAACACAAGCATGGCCAGGTACCCAGCAAGCGATAATCTTTTTGTGCTTTCTGAAAATGCATACATTACAGCCAGCATTGAATGACCATGATCAAGGGGTGTAGAAATCAAAGGTCAGATTACCACCAATGCATTCAAGAGTCTTGGATTATAAGAAATGAAGTTGCAGACACTAGCAATCTGAATTATAGTGGCAAATGTTGTGTATAACCAATCTATGAAAATACTAGCCATCTGCAATAGTCAATTTTTGGATTAAATATGAAAAAAATAGCTGCATATATAACACAGTTGGAGGATTTACAGATGTTGGTGCACACTGCAGAAGCTTCAAAATGTGCTTGAAAATAATCAAAGAAGATAGCATGAATCCCAGGCTGAGTTGTGACACTTGGGAAATGGGAGGGAACTTCACAAACTTGCTAGGGAGCAGTAAAAGATAGGAAAAAAAACAGGAAAATGAGGTAGGCCAAGGAACTTGTCAAGGGACAGATGCAATAAAGAAGCGAAGAGATTGAAATTTTTAGCTTTTCTACTTGAATGGTGAATGTGAAGTGGCATGCAGGTGGCGGTGGTGTCGTCATCATCATCATCGGTGGTCTTCTTGGATTGACTGGGGTTGGCAAGATTTCTAGGGACAGCATGATGATGTGGATCAGTCATTTCAGATCTTCCAGAATGTGGAGGCTCGCCAGCCTCACAAGCCCTGTGAGAGGTGCAAAAATTCAAATACGTAATTGGGCCCCAAAGTTGAGGGACATCAACTTCCAATTGATGAGGGGACCAAGCATGGGCTGACATGTGCCATAAATGTTTGTCCACATCTGTAGAAAGACACTTTTTCAAAAATGCTTCACCCGTATAACACAGAGCAACTCCTCAGTGTCCGTTTCCTATGAGTGGAGCTGACAGCCTGTACAGACGTTTTATATTGATAGCAGCTATGTTTTTAGTTTGACTGCTTATCAGCAGCCATAGCTGTGGATGAGTTCCTATCCATTATTCCTACCCAAGGATGCCTAACTAATTAACCTGCTGGATCAAAGAAGCAACATAAGCTTCCACCACAATGAGGTTGCTGCCTTGAAGTTGAGGAGGATGGTAAGGAATATTTTTAAGATTACAGTATTTCATAAAAAAAAATTGTAAGATTAACTGAGATAAGAGACGAGATGCATTTCTTAGGTTCCATTTGTGTAATGAAACTTCTTATTTATTTTTATAAGAAGAAAAAACACGATTGCAGAGGAGAACTTTGTTGAGACACTGCACCATGGAACACCTCAATAAAGTTCCTCTCTATTGGTTTTGTGCCATTTGTCGCTACACTTCATTTTCATTAAAGTGGGAAGTCTGAATGTGCGTGGATGTTGTGCAGATGATAAGAAAGAGATGATTGTGGATGTTATGAATGAGAAGAAGCTGGATGTCCTGGCTTTAAGTGAAACAAAGCTGAAGGGGGTGGGAGAGTTTCAGTGGAGAGGAATAAATGGGATTAGGTCAGGGGTTTCAAATAGAGTTAGAGCTAAAGAAGGAGTAGCAATAATGTTGAAGGATAAGCTATGGCAGGAAAAGAGGGACTATAAATGTATTAATTCAAGGATTATGTGGAGTAAAATAAAGATTGGATGTGAAAAGTGGGCTATAATAAGCGTGTATGCACCTGGAGAAGAGAGAAGTGTAGAGGAGAGAGAGAGATTTTGGGAAATGTTGAGTGAATGCGTGGGGAGTTTTTGAATCAAGTGTGAGAGTAATGGTGGTTGGGGATTTCAATGCTAAAGTGGGTAAAAATGTTATGGAGGGAGTAGTAGGTAAATTTGGGGTGCCAGGGGTAAATGTAAATGGGGAGCCTTTAATTGAGCTATGTGTAGAAAGAAATTTGGTAATAAGTAATACATATTTTATGAAAAAGAGGATAAATAAATATACAAGGTATGATGTAGCACGTAATGAAAGTAGTTTATTAGATTATGTATTGGTGGATAAAAGGTTGATGGGTAGGCTCCAGGATGTACATGTTTATAGAGGGGCAACTGATATATCGGATCATTATTTAGTTGTAGCTACAGTTAGAGTAAGAGGTAGATAGGAAAAGAGGAAGGTGGCAACAACAAGTAAGAGGGAGGTGAAAGTGTATAAACTAAGGGAGGAGGAAGTTCGGGTGAGATATAAGCGACTATTGGCAGAAAGGTGGGCTAGTGCAAAGATGAGTAGTGGGGGGGTTGAAGAGGGTTGGAATAGTTTTAAAAATGCAGTATTAGAATATGGGGCAGAAGTTTGTGGTTATAGGAGGGTGGGGCAGGAGGAAAGAGGAGTGATTGGTGGAATGATGAAGTAAAGGGGTGTAAAAGAGAAAAAGTAGCTTATGAGAGGTTTTTACAAAGCAGAAGTGTTTATAAGAAGAGCAAGTATATGGAGAGTAAAAGAAAGGTAAAGAGAGTGGTGAGAGAGTGCAAAAGGAGAGCAGATGATAGAGTGGGAGAGGCACTGTCAAGAAATTTTAATGAAATAAAGAAAAAATTTTGGAGCGAGTTAAACAAGTTAAGAAAGCCTAGGGAAAATATGATTTGTCAGTTAAAAACAAGTAGGGGAGTTAGTAGATGGGGAGATGGAGGTATTAGGTAGATTGCGAGAATATTTTGAGGAACTTTTAAATGTTAAGGAAGAAACAGAGGCAGTAATTTCATGCACTGGTCAGGAGGTATACCATCTTTTAGGAGTGAAGAAGAGCAAATGTAAGTGTGGGGAGGTACGTGAGGCATTATGTAAAATGAAAGGGGTAAAGCAGCTGGAACTGATGGGATCATGACAGAAATGTTAAAAGCAGGGGGGATATAGTGTTGGAGTGGTTGGTACTTTGTTTAATAATGTATGAAAGAGGGGAAGGTACCTAGGATTGGCGGAGAGCATGTATAGTCCCTTTATAAAAAGGGAAAGGGGACAAAAGAGACTGTAAAAATTATAGAGGAATAAGCTTATTGAGTATACCAGGAAAAGTGTACGGTAGGGTTATAATTGAAAGAATTAGAGGTAAGACAGAATGTAGGATTGCGGATGAGCAAGGAGGTTTCAGAGTGGGTAGGGGATGTTAATCAAGTGTTTACATTGAGCATATATGTGAACAGTATTTAGATAAAGGTAGGGTAGTTTTTATTGCATTTATGGATTTAAGAAAAGGCATATGATAGAGTGGATAGAGGAGCAATGTGGCAGATGTTGCAAGTATATGGAATAGGTGGTTAGTTATTAAATGCTGTAAAGAGTTTTTATGAGGATAGTGAGGCCAGGTTTAGGGTGTGTAGAAGAGAGGGAGACTACTTCCTGGTAAAAGTAGGTCTTAGACAGGGATGTGTAATGTCACCATGGTTGTTTAATATATTTATAGATGGGGTTGTAAAGGAAGTAAATGCTAGGGTGTTCGGGAGAGGGTGGGATAAATTTTGGGGAATCAAATTCAAAATGGGAATTGACACAGTTTACTTTTTGCTGATGATACTGTGCTTATGGGAGATTCTAAAGAAAATTGCAAAGGTTAGTGGATGAGTTTGGGAATGTGTGTAAAGGTAGAAAGTTGAAAGTGAACATAGAAAAGAGTAAGGTGATGAGGGTGTCAAATGATTTAGATAAAGAAAAATTGGATATCAAATTGGGGAGGAGGAGTATGGAAGAAGTGAATGTTTTCAGATACTTGGGAGTTGACGTGTCAGCGGATGGATTTATGAAGGATGAGGTTAATCATAGAATTGATGAGGGAAAAAAGGTGAGTGGTGCGTTGAGGTATATGTGGAGTCAAAAAACGTTATCTATGGAGGCAAAAGAAGGGAATGTATGAAAGTATAGTAGTACCAACACTCTTATATGGGTGTGAAGCTTGGGTGGTAAATACAGCTGCGAGGAGACGGTTGGAGGCAGTGGAGATGTCCTGTTTAAGGGCAATGTGTGGTGTAAATATTATGCAGAAAATTCGGAGTGTGGAAATTAGGAGAAGGTGTGGAGTTAATAAAAGTATTAGTCAGAGGGCAGAAGAGGGGTTGTTGAGGTGGTTTGGTCATTTAGAGAGAATGGATCAAAGTAGAATGACATGGAAAGTATATAAATCTATAGGGGAAGGAAGGCGGGGTAGGGGTCGTCCTCGAAAGGGTTGGAGAGAGGGGGTAAAGGAGGTTTTGTGGGCAAGGGGCTTGGACTTCCAGCAAGCGTGTGTGAGCGTGTTAGATAGGAGTGAATGGAGACGAATGGTACTTGGGACCTGACGATCTGTTGGAGTGTGAGCAGGGTAATATTTAGTGAAGGGATTCAGGGAAACCGGTTATTTTCATATAGTCGGACTTGAGTCCTGGAAATGGGAAGTACAATGCCTGCACTTTAAAGGAGGGGTTTGGGATATTGGCAGTTTGGAGGGATATGTTGTGTGTCTTTATATGTGTATGCTTCTGGACTGTTGTATTCTGAGCACCTCTGCAAAAACAGTGATAATGTCCGAGTGTGGTGAAAGTGTTGAATGATGATGAAAGTATTTTCTTTTTGGGGATTTTCTTTCTTTTTTTTTTTTTGGGTCACCCTGCCTCGGTGGGAAACGGCCGACTTGTTGAAAAAAAAAAAAAAATTTATGTGGGATGGTGGGATGGGTATTTTGGGATGAGTAAACAAATACACATACTGTACAGTAATGTATTCGCATCTCTACTGTATGAGTATTATTGGTCATTATTTATGAATATGTTTTTAATTGTGGACTTATTATCTTTTTTATTTTATGTTAAGTACTTTAATCAACCCACTTTTTTGCTTATGTATTGTTTACCTTTCAATTTCTAGTACTCAGCGGCGTTCGTGGTGGCAAAGTGAAAATGGTTTACAAGATGCTAGCATTCAACTGAACTTGGAAGCAGAATTTCATTTTACACATCTTATAATCAAATTCAGAACCTTTAGACCTGCTGCTATGCTCTTTGAGAGATCTTTTGACTTTGGAAAGACATGGAAGGTATTTTCATGATTTTCTATCTTTATTCTCATTTTTGTTTTGTTTAGTTGGTTATAATCTGAGTGCATTAGTAGCCATTATTTAATCTTGGTCCTTCTTGGATCTTCCCTCAAAAGAAACTTATTATTACTGTGTTCATGGGGAAGCACTCAACTGTAGGGGTAATTTCAGACCTGGGGAAATAGGGAATAATCACATTTAATTCAGGGCAGGGAAAGATTGCTCCAGTTTCTTAGATCAATAGCTCTTTAGCATCAAGGCACTTTTGAAGGATTAAGCAACCATTACAGAAGAGCCTATATGACTGTGGTGGTGTTCTCCACTACTCCCTGATGTTAATTTTTCCATCACTCGCCCTTTGTATTTTCCATTCAACATATTTATTCATCATCCTCTTCATATGTCCTGATTCAACCTTAATACCCTCATACATCCAATCACAGCTCTTCCTATCATAATCCATTTTAAGAGCCTTAGCACCTTTCTTCCCTGATCTGTTGTCTTTTAATTTTTTTGCCTCTATGGCATCTTGTTTGTGAGTTATCTCTTGCAGTACCTTACCACCCATTACAATATTTCACAGCATTAACCCTTTCAGGGTTTCGGACGTACTAGTACGGCTTACGCACCAGGATTTTTGACGTACTAGTACGCCTAAATTCTAGCGCCCTCAAATCTAGTGAGAGAAAGCTGGTAGGCCTACATATGAAAGAATGGGTCTACGTGGTCAGTGTGTGCAGTATAAAAAAAGTCCTGCAGCACACAGTGCGTAATGAGAAAAAAAAACTTTGACCGTGTTTTTGGATTAAAACAGCGACTTTGCACTATATTTTTGTATGGTATTTATTGTTGTATTCTAGTTTTCTTGGTCTCAGTTTTTAGAATGGAAGACATATTACAGAAATTGAGATGATTTTGACTGGTTTTACAATGAAAAGTACCTTGAAATTGAGCTCAAAGTAACAGAAATGTTCGATTTTTACCAAAGTTCAGAAGTAAACAAATCATGCTAAGCGTCCAATACACGTCAACTGGCGAGTCTAATATTCTTTCACAAGTGAGCCGATATTATTTATACCATTTCTACACTAATTTAGTAGTCTGCATAACAGTAAATCTTCTATTTTTTGTGAGAATAAAAAATTCAAAGTGGAAAGCAAAAGAATGTAAGAGGGGCGTGGGGACGTGACTAATGAACAGAGGAAATGTTATTTTAGTGCCAGGAATGTCTTTCTTGTTTATTCTGGACCCTATTTGGAAATTGGCATCTTTTGAAATTTGTGTGAAATTGGCAAAATTGCTAAATTCTGACCACTGTATTGGATAGTTGAAATCGGTAAATGGGTGATTTCTTGTACTCATTCGATAGAAAAAATGGAGTTCTAGCGAAATAGTTATGATTTTTGTCGACTAGTACACTGGAATTGGCTGAAAATAGGGCTCAAAGTGGGCAAAATCGCCGATGCGTAAACATCGTAGAGACCGCTAACTTCGTGAAAACATAATTCCGTAAGTTTTCCATCAAATTTCATACTTTTGGTGTCATTATGATAGGGAAAAGATTATCTTTTCATAAGAAAAAATAATTTTTTTTTTTTTAAATTTGGGTGACCCTGAGAACAAGTCTGAGAGAGGGCTTGGGGACCCTGAAAGGGTTAAAATATCTTTGCTTTTAATTCCTAGAATGTTGCCTCTAATTATTTTATTTCCACAACCACACTTAGTTTACAATGCCATGAGAAAATTCAAGTATAGCACATGTAATCAGATAATGAAACTAATTAACTGAGTTTGTTCATCACAAAGGTTTTATATGTAAAAACAATAAACTATCTTGTTCACTTGAATGATTAAACAGTGTAAAATAGAAGAAGCCTTGAGGTATCACTGCGGTATATTGTAGTGGAAGATAAGAATAGTTAATTGTGGTAGGGATACTGTATTTATTATTGTTTTCTGATGATAAGGCTTATAAAAGCTAATTAATTATTAATGCTTTTTTCACAGGTGTACAGATACTTCGCTTATGATTGTGCTGAAGCTTTTCCAGGAATCCCTCAGGGTCCTCCATCCTCTATAAATGATGTAGTTTGTGAATCGCGTTATTCAGCTGTTGAACCATCCACAGAGGGTGAAGTAAGTTCTTCTCTAATACTGTATATGTTATGTTGCTCAGACATCTTTGGTAGGCTGTGGATTTTTTCAGCCTGGAACTTTTACAGTAGTTTAAAAAATTAACTTTTCCACTTTTCACCAGTCTCTTTTTAAGAGATAAAGTAATCCGTAAAATTTTAATATAATAAATGGTTAATACAGTATTGGATCTCGGACCATTTATATCCCCTTCATTTTGTGTATCTTTTCATTCATGTGTTTTAATTAATTTGCCTCCATTTGTCACAGTTCAGTGGACTTATTTTATTCCTCTTTATGAAGTGGTCTCCAAAAGTTGTTCTCTATCTAAAAATGTATACTGTACTGCCACTGATGAAATCTGAGCAGTTTGCAAGCTTAATACTAGTTTTCAGTTTTTGCAGTTAAGTAAAATACAGTACTCCTTTATACATGAGACTGTGATTGTCATAAAATACATTTATTTATTTTTGATTATCATTTTGTAGCTACAGTAGTACAGTTGTAGATTCAGTGGTTGTATTGCATACCATCACCTTTTGGATCTAGTTCTAGTGTTCTACCACTGTTTATGAAAACTGTCTCTTAGTACCTCTTTTTCTTTTCATTTTACAATTGTGGCCTCTTTTTATTGCTGTTTTAATAGTTTAAATGTAATTATCATGTTTCTTCTTTTTTTCCTATTTACCGAGGGTGTATTTAATGCTCTCAACTTTTTTTCATAAATAATGTTCTTAAGCTTTGGCTGCTATTTTGTAGCTTGTTTTTGTATTTTTTCTAGCTTGTCCCCTTGTTTTAGAAGTGGACACCATACCAGTGCTCCTTATTCTAATTTTGGTAAAATATGCTGTAAGCAGCATTTTTAGGATTTTTCCATCCATAAAATATACCTAATGGCTGTTCTAAAGTTTGTCAAAATATGCGTCAGAGTTGCTCAAGCTTTCAGTTTGATCTTCTGGCAACAATCCTTTATTATTGGTGATTCCTAGGTCACTTTCTTGGCCATTTGTGTGAATATAATTTATTCTTGGGCTTGGACTTCTAGCAAGCGTGCGTGAGTGTGTTAGATAGGAGCAAATGGAGACAAATGGTTTTTAGGACTTGATGTGCTGTTGGAGTGTAAGCATGGTAACATTTATGAAGGGAGTCAGGGAAACCGGCAGGCCGGACTTGATTCTTGGAGATGGGAAGTACAGTGCTGGCATTCTGAAGGAGGGATGTTAATGTTGCAGTTTTATAACTGTAGTGTAAGCATGCCTCTGGCAAAACAGTGATGGAGTGAGTGATGATGGAAGATTTTCTTTTTCGGGCCACCCTGCACTTGGTGGGAAACGGCCAATTTGTTAATAAAAAAAAATAATTTATTTCGAATTTTTTTTAACACGCTAACCATCTCCCACTGAGACAGAGTGACCTTTCTCTCCCCCCCTCCAAAAACAAAAAAAAACTTTCACCATTATTCATGCTATCACTGTCTTTGCAGAGGTGCGCAGATTCAACATTTTAGATGTCACTCCAAACACCAAGTATCCCAAACCCCTCCTTGAAAGTGCAGGCATTGTACTGCCCACCCCCTGGACTCAAGTCCAGTTAACCAGTTTCTCTGAATCCCTTCACAAAACATTACCCTGGTCACACTCCAACAGCTCATCAAGTCCCAGAAACCATTTGTCTCCACTCCTATCTAATATGCTCATAAATGCCTGCTGTATGTCCAAGCCCCTTGCATGCAAAACCTCTTTTACCCCCCTCTCTCCATCCTTTCCTAGGATGACCCCTACCCTTCCTTCCCTCCACTATGGATTTATACACCTTCCAAATCTTCCTATTTTGCTCCGTCTTCTGTAAATGACCAAACCACCTCATCAACCCCTCCTCAACCCTCTGAATAATACTTTTAGTAACTCCATACCTCCCAATTTCCACACTACGAATTCTCTGTATAATATTTATGCGACACATTGCCTTTAGACATGACATCTCCACTGCTTCCAGCTTCATTCTTACTGCAACATTCAAATTGAAGTAATCTTTGACTAGAAGTTTTTGTGTACAGTACTAGCTCATTTATTCTGTTTTTTTTTCTTTTTTAAGGTGATATTCAGAGTTCTTCCACCAAATATTGAGATAGAAAACCCATACAGTGATGAAGTTCAGAACTTGCTGAAAATTACCAATTTACGTGTCAACTTTACCAAACTTCATACTCTTGGGGATCAACTTCTTGACAACAGACGTGAAATTAAGGTAATATTTCCTGTACTGTACTTAAACTTTTATAATTAGAGGGAAAGCACTAAACTCTTAGAGATCATATATTACCTGGGGATTGGAAGGTAATCAAGATTGAGAAGTGTAATTCCAATTTCTTGGATTTAGCTCCAGTTTGTTGAATTTAAAATGACTTTAAATTTAAAATGAATTTAAAAAAGTTCAGTGTTGAGGGAAGCATGGTTACAATACCTCCAAGTGCCAGATAAACTGAGCTTTGATGAATATGTGGGCCAGTGAGATGCCAGTGGCAACAGCCTGTTTGACCAGGAAAGCAACATATAAACCAGGCTATGGGAGTAAAAAAACTAGCACCATCAAAGGTTCTGCACATTGTCTTTATACCCATACTCTGTACTTAGATTAAATAACATGGAGATGCAATAACCATAGATTCTGTGTACATAATTCTGTAATTAACCCTTAAACTGTCCAAACGTAGATCAGTGTTCACTTATGTACCGCTCTGAATATTTTGGATTTTTTTTTTTTTTTTTAAATGTAGAGCGCATTTTTTCAAGCATCCCCGAATTTTGTCATACTGTGCACACTGAGTGCACAGACTCATTCTCTCATGTCTAGGCAACTCAGGTTTATCATGCCAAGGTTGAAAGCATGTAAAATAAAACGTAGATCTACGATCGGAGCGCTACACACGTGAACATAGCTCTGCGTTTGGACAGTTTAAGGGTTAAGGTATTTTTTTTTCTACAGAAGCTTTTTTTTTTCCTTTTAGGAAAAATATTATTATGCCATATATGATATGGTAGTAAGAGGATCTTGTTCATGCTATGGGCATGCATCACGCTGCCTGCCATTACCAGGCGTAGAAGATCGAGCAGATATGGTTCATGGCCGCTGTGAGTGCACACACAATACTATAGGTCTTAATTGTCAAAAGTGTCAAGACTTCTTCAATGATTTACCTTGGAGACCTGCTGTTGGAAAAGAATCCAATGCTTGTAAAAGTATGTAAAATGTGTATTTGTTTAATTTACTTTTGTAATACTATGTATTGGCTCTTCATCGAACTGATTATTGTAATAAATATCAGAATTGAAATGTATTCTGTCTTAACTTTTTCAAAATTCATACTTAATGTTACCAGATATATATACTGTAGAAGACTTCAGCTTAGAAAGGTCTGGCTGCCTTAATTTGTCAGTGTATAAAACAGGATTTTTGTGCTTATACGTGTACTTGCCATGTTCTACCTTACTTGAGAGGATGACTTCATTAAAAATATGCACCAGATATTTCAGTGTATCAGGCATTAAAACCTCTTATTACGATATGCTTAAGATTGCCATCTTGAAGCTGCTTTTTTATTTTTTGCACTACTGTAATTCTGAAACTGCTCTTTTATTTTTGGATACTATAATTTTTCATGAGAATTCTTTTCTCATTTATTAATTTTATATTTGTTGTGACTATGACAATCAAGAGTTATTGCATCTGTAAAAAAATTAATATTAAAATGTCCAATTGTTCCACTTAGAAAATATGGTTACATGTTAGAAAAAATAATACAAATAAATATATCCTGATTTTTTTTTTCTCAACAAGTCGGCCGTCTCCCACCGAGGCAGGGTGACCCAAAAAAGAAAGAAAATCCCCAAAAAGAAAATACTTTCATCATCATTCAACACTTTCACCTCACTCACACATTATCACTGTTTTTGCAGAGGTGCTCAGAATACAACAGTTTAGAAGCATACACATATAAAGATACACAACATATCCCTCCAAACTGCCAATATCCCAAACCCCTCCTTTAAAGTGCAGGCATTGTACTTCCCATTTCCAGGACTCAAGTCCGACTATATGAAAATAATATATCCTGATATAGCTCTTATATAAATTTTAATTAACTAATATTTTTCACACAGAATGTAACTGCAACAATCACGCATCACTGTGTCATTTTGATCCACAAGTCTACGAAGACACAGGAAGTATCTCTGGGGGTGTATGTGATGACTGTACTCACAACACTCAGGGTCGCAATTGTGAAGAATGTCTCCCATTCTATTTTCAAGATCCCAATAGAGATATACGGGATCCTGAAATATGCCAGCGTAGGTACTTTTTTTCCTCCTTGTATCTGCATCTGCCATAGCAGATAGATATTAAATATATTCCAGCAAATATACAGTAACTTAATATTATATTTATTATGAAACAAATTGTAATAGTTAAATATTCGCTGAAAGGGAGCTACGTATTTAGTACTTTGCCATGTCAAGTTTTTATTAATAAAGATTTTTTACTCTCTAGCCTGCAACTGTGATACTCGAGGATCATTAGACAATGCCATATGTGATTCTCGCACTGACATATCTGGTGGCCTAATTGCCGGGCCCGGTCCATGTAAAACAAATTTGTGGGTTTAAAAATTTTTTTTATTCACAACCTCCTCCTATAAACCCATTAAACATGTACAGTGACATCACAAATACCTGTCTAAGGCTCCGTTTGTCAAATTTATTAAATTTTCATTTTGTTTTAAATTAGTAATTTGGTACATTTGAAGAGTTGTTTCCAACTGGATTAATGACTCTTTGATGTATTGACCTCCCTTAGAATTTCTTTTCTTTTTGCATATTATGAATCCCTAGAAATCACTAATAAAATTTATATTTTTTTTTTTTTATTATCACACCGGCCGATTCCCACCAAGGCAGGGTGGCCCGAAAAAGAAAAACTTTCACCATCATTCACTCCATCACTGTCTTGCCAGAAGGGTGCTTTACACTACAGTTTTTAAACTGCAACATTAACACCCCTCCTTCAGAGTGCAGGCACTGTACTTCCCATCTCCAGGACTCAAGTCCGGCCTGCCGGTTTCCCTGAATCCCTTCATAAATGTTACTTTCCCTCACACTCCAACAGCACGTCAAGTATTAAAACCATTTGTCTCCATTCACTCCTATCAAACACGCTCAACAGCATGCTGGCTGGAGTCCAAGCCCCTCGCACACAAAACCTCCTTTAACCCCCTCCCTCCAACCCTTCCTAGGCCGACCCCTACCCCCCTTCCTTCCACTACAGACTGATACACTCTTGAAGTCATTCTGTTTCGCTCCATTCCTCTACATGTCCGAACCACCTCAAAAACCCCTTCCTCAGCCCTCTGGACAACAGTTTTGGTAATCCCGCACCTCCTCCTAACTTCCAAACAACGAAATTCTCTGCATTATATTCACACCACACATTGCCCTCAGACTGACATCTCCACTGCCTCCAGCCTTCTCCTCGCTGCAACATTCATCACCCACGCTTCACACCCATATAAGAGCGTTGGTAAAAACTATACTCTCATACATTCCCCTCTTGCCTCCAAGGACAAAGTTCTTTGTCTCCACAGACTCCTAAGTGCACCACTCACTCTTTTTCCCTCATCAATTCTGTGATTCACCTCATCTTTCATAGACCCATCCGCTGACACGTCCACTCCCAAATATCTGAATACGTTCACCTCCTCCATACTCTCTCCCTCCAATCTGATATTCAATCTTTCATCACCTAATCTTTTTGTTATCCTCATAACCTTACTCTTTCCTGTATTCACCTTTAATTTCTTCTTTTGCACACCCTACCAAATTCATCCACCAATCTCTGCAACTTCTCTCAAATCTCCCAAGACCCACAGTGTCATCAGCAAAGAGCAGCTGTGACAACTCCCACTTTGTGTGTGATTCGTTATCTTTTAACTCCACGCCTCTTGCCAAGACCCTCGCATTTACTTCTCTTACAACCCCATCTATAAATAAAATTAAACAACCACGGTGACATCACACATCCTTGTCTAAGGCCTACTTTTACTGGGAAAAAATTTCCCTCTTTCCTACATACTCTAACTTGAGCCTCACTATCCTCGTAAAAACTCTTCACTGCTTTCAGTAACCTACCTCCTAAATAAACTTTTGATAATTTTCTTGCTCTGCAATTTTTGGAATAATTTTGTTAGTAGTGTACTATGGTAGCTTCAGATTTTTCCCCCTCGTGTCAGTACAATATGTATCTAAATCTATATACCAAGTATAAATTTTAATATTCCAGGAATCACAGAAGATTATTATTCTCAACCAAAATCAGAATGGCCTCGGAAACGTAAGAAGGTTTTTTATAGAAATTAACTTGGATGCATTTGAGAGCATTTCTTAACAGTTAACACTGAAGTAGTATGCATTATTGCTTGTTTTATGGAGTGACATAATACTTAACAGAGTGTACAGTGTTGCTAAGTCATTGTTCTGGCTGTATGGTTAGGTAAGAGTAATGTTAATATTATACCAGAATAATGTCCACCTGCTTGAAAGTATCTTGTTGTAAATGACATGATCAAAACAGAAAAGCAATATTAAAGCATTTATCTTTACATTTTCATGATTACAGTTGTTTTATTAAAAGTTTGATTGGTCAGATTTATAAAGTTAAAAGTAAAAATAAACCAAAATATAAAGTCTGGCTAGGAGAATGATAAAATGATTTTTAAGGGTGGAAAAGAACTCTGTCTCTTTTGATCCCAACTCGCACTTTTATCATACTGTATTTGTTTGAGTTTCTGTATGCAGTCATTCTATTGTTATACTGTTCGTGTGTTGCAGCCAAGGATGGAGTTGACATCTCCATTGGTGTGTCAACTATTTGGGCTGTGATATACTGCTTCTATGTCAGTATGTTCACTTGTAGGATGAGTGGCACTACCTACTGACCTTGATGCTTACGGAAAAATATGAAATTTTGCTCCTTTTGATGTTTATAGTTACAGTACCAGTCTATAGTTACAGTACCAGTCTATAGTTACAGTACCAGTCTATAGTTACAGTACCAGTCTATAGTTACAGTACCAGTCTATAGTTACAGTACCAGTCTATAGTTACAGTACCAGTCTATAGTTACAGTACCAGTCTATAGTTACAGTACCAGTCTATAGTTACAGTACCAGTCTATAGTTACAGTACCAGTCTATAGTTACAGTACCAGTCTATAGTTACAGTACCAGTCTATAGTTACAGTACCAGTCTATAGTTACAGTACCAGTCTATAGTTACAGTACCTGTCTATAGTTACAGTAACTATAAACAGTACCTGTTTATAGTTACTGTAACTGTTTATAGTTACAGGGGCTGAGTTAAGCTTGTGGTATCCTGTCTTCAGTGTGAGAATCTCTATCTTGATCCTTCCCCAGAAATGGAGGGAATAAAAAATTGTATTTTCTCAACTAAGTTTCACTGAAACCATTGGTTAGACTCTGGAAAGGTGTATAACTTCCTTCATGGTATCCAACTCCACCTGGATTATACATGTTATTCTTTATATGATTTCAGGATTGCCTAAAATTTAAATGGATTGACCATTATAGCTCAAAATTGGTGGCCAGTGGCAAATCCAAGATTTCATTTCTGGAGGGTTGGGGAGGAAGCTTAAATATAATAGGATGCTGAAAAATTTAAGAAATCTTTAAGAACATGATTGTCAGTACATGTATATATGTTTTGTGGTGACAAGTCAGTATAATAGTGAAAATTAAGCATTAACTTAAAAAATATAAAGTATTTGTATTTGGGGGGGGTTCTTCAGCCCCATTACAACCCCTTCATGGCCGCACAACTGTTGATGGGTATTTCCAAGAGTGTTTCCCTGTGCATGTTTGTAATTATGTATATATTTGTAAAAGCCTAGGTAGTAGGTTGGTAGACAGCAACTGCCCAGGGAGGTACTACCGTCCTGCCAAGTGAGTGTAAAACGGAATCCTGTAATTGTTTTACATGATGGTAGGATTGCTGGTGTCTTTTTTTTTTTTCTGTCTCATACACATGCAAGATTTCAGGTACATCTTGCTACTTTTACTTACACTTGGGTCACACTACACATACATGTACAAGCATATATATACACACACTCCTGGGTTTTCTTCTATTTTCTTTCTAGTTCTTGTTCTTGTTTATTTCCTCTTATCTCCATGGGGAAGTGGGACAGAATTCTTCCTCTGTAAGCTATGCGTGTTGTAAGAGGCGACTAAAATGCTGGGAGCAAGGGGCTAGTAACCCCTTCTGTATATATTACTAAATTTAAAATGAGAAACTTCTGTTTTTCTTTTTGGGCCACCCCACCTCAGTGGAATATGGCTGGTGCATTGAAAGAAAGAAAGATTTGTAAAAGCCTAGGTAGTAGGTTGGTAGACAGCAACTGCCCAGGGAGGTACTACTGTCCTGCCAAATGAGTGTAAAACGGAATCCTGTAATTGTTTTACATGATGGTAGGATTGCTGGTGTCTTTTTTCTGTCTCTTAAACATGCAAGATTTCAGGTACGTCTTGCTGCTTCTACTTACACTTAGGTCACACTACACATACATGTACAAGCATATATTTATTTATTTATTTAATGTCTGCAAACAGTACATAGAGATTGTGTATATACAATACTGGGTTGCAATGCAAAGAGAGCCTCTATTATGCCTAGGCATTATGGGCCAACTTAACATTATTGGCTTACATTCTACTTAATACTAAGGAGTAGTATATCATAGTTGTACAGTAGGAAAGTAATTATTTCATAGCTGTACAGTAGAACATTAATTATAAATGAATCAAAATTTGTATAATACAAAGATATACGTATTTTTATTCTAAAATGCTTTTGTGAAAAACAGTGATTCAATTATATTACTGTCAATCATAGATAAAAGGTTCAATGTAATTGTTTCAGTTATGATGTGGGAGTACATAGGTGAGTAAATGTGTACTGAGTATTTAGCATTTAGTCTAGGGTGATTAAGTGGCTTTTGAGAAGAGTCTTAAATTGATTTTCAGACTGGGTTACTTTAATATCTTCTGGTAATGAATTCCATATTTTGGGGCCCTTTATGTGCACAGAGTTTTTACACAGTGTGATATGGACACGAGGTATATCAAAAAGAGATCTGTGTCTTGTGTTGTGGTCATGTGTCCTGTTTAGGTTGGTGAGGAAAAGTTTAAGTGGGGGTTTATATTTGCGTGTGTTGTTCTGTGTATGTAATAGGCACATGAATAAGTATGGATGTTCTTAATGGTAAGCAGATTCAGACTTTTGAAAATTGGTGGAGTATGCTGGCGGGAGTGAGAATTTGTTATCATTCTTACTGCTGCCTTTTGCTGGGTTATTAGGGGTTTTAGGTGATTGGATGTTGTTGATCCCCATGCACAAATTCCATATGTAAGATAAGGGTATATGAGTGAATGGTGCAGTGCCGGGAGAGCTGATTGTGGAACGTAGTACCTTAACTTTGATAGTATGCCTACAGTCTTAGAGATTTTCTTGGTGATTTGTTGTATGTGTGTTCGGAACTTAAGGCTACTGTCAAGGTGGATACCTAGGAATTTTCCCTCTGTGAGTCTTGTGACTGATGATTCATTTAGCATAATGTTAATTGGATCATTTGCAGCTTTGTTTCCAAACTGAATGAAATTGGTTTTATCAGTGTTCAGGGTAAGTTTATTAGTCATCATCCAGGCAGATATTTTCTGTAATTCAGAATTGACTGTGTTTGCTAGAATGACTGCGTTTGGGTGGGAAAATGCATATGTAGTGTCATCTGCAAATAATATGGGTTTGATTAGCTGTGATGCATTCGGTAGATCATTGATGTAGATGAGAAAGAGGAGTGGTCCAAGGACGCTTCCTTGTGGAACTCCTACTGTGATTGGTTGGGTGGAGGAGTTTGCATCATTTGCATACACATATTGAGCTCTGTTACTAAGGTATGACTTTAGGTAGTTGAGGGAGTGGCCTCTGATACCATAGTGCATTAATTTGGAGTACAGTAGTTCATGGTCGACATGGAAACCTCTGGGTTTTCTTCTATTTTCTTTCTAGTTCTTGTTCTTGTTTATTTCCTCTTATCTCCACGGGGAAGTGGAACAGAATTCTTCCTCCATAAGCCATGCGAGTTGTAAGAGGCGACTAAAATGCTGGGAGCAAGGGCCTAGTAACCCCTTCTCCTGTATAAATTACTAAATTTAAAAAGAGAAACTTTCATTTTTCTTTTTGGGCCACCCTGCCTTGGTGGGATTCGGCTGGTTTGTTGAAAAAAAAAAAAAAAGTTTGTAAAAGCCTAGGTAGTAGGTTGGTAGACAGCAACCACCCAGGGAGGTACTACCATCCTGCCAAGTGAGTGTAAAATGGAAGCCTGTAATTGTTTTACAAAATGGTAGGATTGCTGGTGTCTTTTTTTTTTTTTTTTTTTTTTTTTTTGTCTCGTACACATGCAAGATTTCGGGTATGTCTTGCTACTTCTACTTACACTTAGGTCACACTACACATACATGTACAAGCATATATATACACACCCCTCTGGATTTTCTTCTATTTTCTTTCTAGTTCTTGTTTTTGTTTATTTCCTCTTACCTCCATGGGGAAGTGGAACAGAATTCTTCCTCCGTAAGCCATGTGTGTTGTAAGAGGTGACTAAAATGCCGGGAGCAAGGGGATAGTAACCCCTTCTCCTGCATACATTACTAAGTGTAAAAGGAGAAACTTTCGTTTTTCATTTTGGGCCACCCCGCCTCGGTGGGATACGGCCGGTGTGATGAAAGAAAGATTTGTAAAAGTTTTCTTTCTGTGAGGTATCTGTGACTGACTTTGAAAACGCTTCTACCCTACCAGCCAGGCTTTCGTGGAAAGTACCTGACCAATCAGGGTGTTCTGTTAACCACCTATTGACCCACATATCCATCACAGCTTAGGTGATCTGGCACATTATCATGGTAGTGATTCAATTTCCTCTTGAAGACTTCTTTACTTGTTCCAGTAATATATCTGATATCTGCTGGTAGCAGGTGGAAGAGTTTTGGCATTTACAGAGCTTTTCTGTCTAGCAGGGTTTTACTCATATTTGGCCACTTCTCCACTTTGAGGTGTAGGGTTATGATTAAAACTCTTAAGAAAAAATCACTTGAACCTGATATAACAGTTAATATTTGGCAAACATTAACATGTCAGTTTTATCTTGTACCACTAAATTATTCAATTCCTACCTCTTTATTACATACAGGAATTGTTGACACTGAAATGTCCCTCAGAACTTAAATTATATGTAATATTCCTTAGTCAGATAAGTAATATTTAAATACTAGTTTAAATATTAGTTTATGTACTCATATTCATTTTAATCTGCATGAAATCTTGCATAACAAGGGGTATTCCTAACACCTTGTAGGTCATGGAAATAAAATTTGACTTTGACCTAGACTTAACTATACAGGTGGTTTAAATGGAGTGACAGGGTTTGAACATGCAGTTTAACAATTCTGGAATTTCTAGCCTGGTGCCTTAGCCCAAAGACCTGTGGTGCAATGGACTAAGATGCTGATCTAGTAATTCTAAGATCATTCAAGTGTGTGTTCCACTTCCATTACCACATTTGAATTGTTACAATCATTTATTTTCAGCTTATTATACAGTTAATGTTTGATTTAGATCATGGTGATACACTGTATTTTAAAATTTACACATTTGAAGTTTTGATTACCTGACCATCTGATGTAGTGAGTCATATTCTTGAATTTTTTGTAAGGAAAGGTAAGGGTTCAGTCCTCAGATGGAATGGGTTTCCATCATTTGACACAAATACTTAATATGAAAAAAGTATTTTTAAAGTTTAGTGAGCTCTCCTGAGAGAATTTTTCTCCTTTGGCTTTGCCAGTAACCTTTGCAAAATAAAAAATGTTGTAGCTGAGTGCACAATAACTGATTAAAAAAAGTTTAAGATGTTAATGAAAATTTTGCTTTATCATATTCTCCTCCTTTGGCTTTGGGTAAGCTAACTATTTTATCAAATATTTTTTATTTAATAACTTAATTATTTGTGTGTTGTTGGATGGAATAATATATTTTAAACAGTACTCTTAGTGAGTTGCCTTTGTCGTTTGATTTAATTTTACTACTGCTCTATCCTCTTTGTTTTAGGAAATATAATGATGTTTTTGCAACTTGTATTAATAATTTATTAATAAGGAATTAAAACAAAATTAAATATTCCACCTTGCTTTCTCAGTTATTCTGTACAATGATCAATATCAATATTGGAAATTCTAAGGATTTATTATATTCTTTAATGAAAAATAAAACCTTCAAAATTCTTTTCTTCAGCTTGTTCATGTGATCTCCTTGGTACTGTGAATAACTTGGGCTGCAATGTCCTAACTGGGGAATGCTCCTGTAAGCGTTTTGTGACTGGAAGAGACTGTAATCAGTGCTTGCCACAACATTATGGGCTCTCAGAGCACCCAGATGGTTGTCAACCATGCAATTGTGACAGAGGAGGCTCACTTGACAACAACTGTGATGTTATCAGTGGCCAGTGCAAGTAAGTAATGTGTGGCTGCATATTAGACCTTTTATTTTATCACAGAACTTTCCATATTGTGATTTCTGCCATGGCTAAAGAGGATGGTACATGTTTTAAAGTACTGTAGTGTAATTAATAGTGGTTTGCTTGTTAAATAAGCAGGTATGTACTGTATCTTAAACCTCACTCTATGAACAATGATTTTTTTTTTCAATAAACCAGCTGTATCTCACTGAGGCAGGGCGACCTTAAAAAAAAAACTAAACTTAGTAATGAACAGTGAAATGTAGTTATGTAAAATCTTAGGTTAGATAAATTGAGGCATTTTTAACAATTTCAGGGTTGCAACCCCTGCTCTCAAACTTGCTTTCAGGGTTGCAAAATTTCTCTGTTCATTAGTCACATCTCCAGGGCCCTCTTATATTATGTTTGCTTTCCATTTTGACTTTTTATTCACATAAAAAATAGAAGATTTATTGTTATGCAGACAACTGCATTATTGTGGTAATTATATAAATAATGTCAATGCATTCCTAAATGTATATTAGACTGGCCAGTTTGATGTGTATTGGACAAGTGACATCTGTGTACTCTGGAATATGGGCAGAAATTGAACATTTCTGTTACTTTGAGCTCAGTTTCAGTCTACTTTCAGTAATGAAACCAGTCAAAATCTTCTCTATTTCTGTAATATATCTTTCATTCTTATAGGTATTAGGTTGGTAGACAGCAACCACCCAGGGAGGTACTACCGTCCTGCCAGATGAGTGTAAAAAGGAAGCTTGTATTTGTTTTACATGATGGTAGGGTTGCTGGTGTCTGTTTTCTGTCTCATAAAAAAGCAAGATTTCAGGTACATCTTGCTACTTCTACTTACACTTAGGTCACATTACACATACATCTACACATTTATGTATACACACTCATCTCAGTTTTCTTTGATTTTGTCTTAATAGTTCTTGTTCTTATTGCTTTTCCTTTTATATCCATGGGGAAGTGGAATAAGAATCTTTCCTCCGTAAGCCATGCGTGTTTTAAAAGTCAACTAAAATGCCAGGCACAATGGGCTAGTAACCTCTTTCCCCATATAGCTTACTAAAAAGAAAAAGAAGAAAACCATCAAAGTAGGTTGTTTGAATGTGTGTGGATGTTGTGCGAATGAAAAGAAAAAGATGATTGTGGATGTTATGTGTGAGAAGCTGGATGCCCTGGCTTTAAGTGAAACAAAGCTGAAGGGTGTTGGAGAGTTTCAGTGGGGAGAAATAAATAGGATTAAGTCAGGGGTTTCAAATAGAGTTAGAGCTAAAGAAGGAGTAGCAAAAATGTTGAAGGATGAGTTATGGCAGGAAAAGAAGGAATATAAATGTATAAATTCAAGGATTATGTGGAGTAAAATAAGCATTGAATGTGAAAAGTGGGTTATAGTAAGCATTTATGCACCTGGAGAAGAGAGAAGTGGAGAGGAGAGAAAGAGAGATTTTGGGAAATGTTGAGTGAGTGCATGGGGAGTTTTGAACCTAGAGAGAGTGTACTTGTGGTTGTGGATCTCAATGCTTAAGTGGGTAAAAATGTTGTGGAGGGAGTAGTAGGTAAATTTGGAATGCCAGGGGTAAATGAAAATGGGGAGCCTTTAATTGAACTATGTGTAGAAAGGGGTTTCGTAATAAGTAATACATATTTTATGAAAAAGAGGATAAATAAGTATACAAGGTATGATATAGCACGTAATGAAAGTAGTTCGTTGGATTATGTATTGGCGGATAAAAGGTTGATGGGTAGGCTTCAGGATGTACATGTTTATTGAAGGGCAACTGATATATAGGATCATTATTTACTCGTAGCAACAGTTAGAGTAAGAGGTAGATGGGACAAAAGGAAAATGGCAACAGCAAGTAAGAAAGATGTGAAAGTGTATAAACTAAGGGAAGAGGAAGTTAGGGTGAGATATAAGCAACTATTGGCAGAAAGGTGAGCTAGTGCAAATATGAGTAGTGGGGGGGGGAGTTGAAGAGGGTTGGAATAGTTTTAAAAATGCAGTATTAGAATGTGGGGCAGAAGTTTTTGGTTATATAAGGGTGGGTGCAGGAGGAAAGAGGAGTGATTGGTGGAATGATGAAGTAAAGGGTGTGATAAAAGAGAAAAAGATAGCTTATGAGATGTTTTTACAAAGCAGAAGTGTTATAAGAAGAGCAGAGTATATGGAGAGTAAAAGAAAGGTGAAGAGAGTAGTGAGAGAGTGCAAAAGGAGAGGAGATGATAGAGTGGGAGAGGCACTGTCAAGAATCTTTGTAGAAAATAAAAAAAAATTTGGAATGTGATAAACAGGTTAAGAAAACCTAGGGAACAAATGGATTTGTCAGTTAAAAACAGAGTAGAGGAGTTAATAGAGGGGGAGCTGGAGATATTGGGTAGATGGTGGGAATACTTTAAATGTCAATGAAGAGAGGTGGTAATTTCATGCACTGGCCAGGGAGGTATAACATCTTTTAGGAGTGGAGAAGAGCAGGATGTGAGTGTGGGGGAGGTGCGTGAGGCATTACATAGAATGAAAGGGGGTAAAGCAGCTGGAACTGATGGGATCATGACAGAAATGTTAAAAGCAGGGGAAGATATAGTGTTAGTGGTTGGTATTTTTGTTTAATAATTGTATGAAAGAGGGGAAGGTACCTAGGGATTGGCAGAGAGCATGTATAGTTCCTTTATATAAAGGGAAGGGGGACAAAAGAGATTGTAAAAATTATAGGGGAGTAAGTTTACTAAGTATACCAGGAAAAGTGTACAGTAGGGTTATTATTGAGAGAATTAGAGGTAAGACAGAGAGCAGGTTTGCAGATGAGCAAGGAGGCTTTACAGTGGGTAGGGGATGTGTAAATTAACCCTTAAACTGACCAAACGTAGATCGTTTTATTTTTCATTCCTTCAAATTTGGCACAATAGGCTTGAGTCGCCTAGACATGAAAGAATGGGTCTGTGCACTAGTGTGCGCACTATTAAAAAATCTGGGAGCACTTAGTACCTTGTGGGAGCGCCAGTTCAATTAAGTGCCAGCTAGAGCAAATAGCATGGCAAACACCAGGGATTCACTGATGCCATGTCGCATTAACACTCCCATTTTAAGAGGAAAGTAAAAACAGGTTAGATAAATACATGAATGAGTGTGGGTGGGTGTGAGTTGGACCTGACTAGTTTGTGCTACTAGGTCTGATGTCATGCTCCTTCCTTCAGTGGATGTGACCTGACTAGGTGGGTCATTGGTCTAAGCCAGGGGGGAGGGTGACATGTACCTGCCTTGGATGGGCCAGTAGGCCTGCTGCAGTCTTCCTTCTTTCTTATGTTCTTATGTATTGGGCAGGCTGGCCAGCTGGCTTGCTTTGGCTGTCTCTGGCTGTTTCTCTGTCTATATCTCTATATCTCTGTCTATCTATATCTTTGTCTCCCATGTACACAAGTACAGTTATTATAGTGTAAATTACCTAGGATAACCCAAAAATTCCAGGCAAAGATAGACAGATAGACAGAAACATGTTTCTGTGTATCAGTGACAACAAATAAAGCCAGGGTTCCCCTAGCCCATTTATCAAATGTCGCCGAGCTGATAACAGATGTCATAAAACAATTCTTCAAGGAGTGTGATATACATATACTCCAGGCAGACAGAAAGACACATAAACAGAGACAGACTTACAGGCAGGCAGATAGACAGATAGGCAGGCAGATAGACAGACAGACAGATAAATAGACAGAGACAAAAGACATGTTTATGTGTAACATTGATAACAAATACAGCGAGGGTTAGCTGGAGCAGTGGGCATTTATCAAATGCCACTGGGCTGTCAACAGTATAGGGAAGCTTTTCATAAGACCATGCTTCAAGGTATATGCCAGGGTATCTAAAACATTGCTAGGACCTATAAATACTTTGTATATATTTCTAGACAATAGTAAATAACCCAGGCAGGTGTAAATGTTCACCTGTCAATGTGATTGTGACTATTTGAGCACTATTTCATTACCTAATATTAGTGTCAGAACAAAGACTGGCTATGAAATTACAAGAACTATTATAAATTGTAATTATCAGAACATAAAAAATATATAAATTAAAATAAAAACGAGAAAAAAAAAGTATATCGGCAACACTTCTGCAAGCAGCAGGAGTCGATGTTGCCGACAGGTGAGCATCCAGAGCCAACTTCACGGTCTTATATCTCAGTAAGTACTGACCCTAAAAAAATTTTTTTATCCTATAACATGTAGAATAAATGTGCTCTACATTTTAAAAGAAAAAAAAAAAGATTTTTTTATTTTTCAAAATATTTTGAGCGCCACGCGAGTGAACATAGATCTACGTTTGGACAGTTTAAGGGTTAAGTGTTTACATTGAGGCATATATGTGAACAGTATTTAGATAAAGGTAAGGAAGTTTTCGTTGCATTTATGGTTTTAGAAAAGTCATATGATAGAATGGATAGGGGAACAATGTGGCTGATGTTGCATGTATATGGAATACAGATCTCCTTCAACATTCGCGAGGGTTAGGGGATCAAGAGCCTCGTGAATGTTGAAAAATCGCGAATGTTTGGTGCCCCAATATATTGTAGGGAAATATAATACAATACTTCTTCCTTAACTTGTTGAACCATAAACAATCATAAAATACATGAAAATGTCGTAAATTGTACTAAATACATACATGTTATGGTTTAATAACAAGTATGTTATTAAATACCACTGCCTCCACTTCCTCGACCGCTGCGAGTTCCTACTACCCTCCCTCCAACCCCCCCCCCCAACTGGCAGCCAGCCCTCCCACCAGTGTGGTGAGTGTTTTGTTTGTTCATTATTTGCTATTAAACTACAGTATAAATAATGTAAACCAATTCATGATTGCATATTGGAATGTCTATTCGGACGGGTATTGGACGGTGACATCATGTGTTGACTCTTGAACACAGCAAAGAATCAAACATTTCTGCTACTGCTAATAATAACAATAGTAGTAGTAGTAATAATACTAC